CGGACCCTACGACCGGGGCGGGACTTCCGGCAAGGCGCGGAAGCGGCGGTAGTGGCAAGTGGAGAAGTTGTGTGGCTGACGGATGCAGGCGGTGAGGCACGTCGTGTGTGCCCTGTCCGGTGGCGTGGACAGCGCCGTGGCCGCGCTGCTGCTGAGGCGAAGAGGTGAGGCGGCCGAGACCCCCGCCCGCCCCCTAGCGAGTGTGTCCGCCAAAACCTGTCCCCGTCCCTCGTGGCGTTGGGCAGATCGCCTCCCTCCCTGGGCCCCTGGTTGCGCGCGGGTCAGCAGGAGGACACCCCGTCTTCTGACTTCGGTTCCGAGGCTCCTCGCCCTCCACCTGTGTAGTCGGAGGTGTGCGCGACGGCAGCTCCGACTACCTGGGAGCAGTTCAGCGCCCCTCTCCACCCGCGCCCACCCGCAGTGAGAAGCCGGCGGGCCGGGGTGGAGTGGGGAGGGGAGGGGAGGGCTTCTCACGGGTCTGCGGCGTCTACATTCGCCTGTGAGGCCGGGGACACTGGTTACGGGAGCTGGGATCGCCGGGCCGGAGGCCTGACCTCTGCACACGCCGTGGCCGCCGGGTGGGAGGTCCTTGTCCTGCCCAGTCAGCAGCAGACGGACAGCTGCCGCGCGGCGGGTCTGCTTGTTCAGTGTCTCTTGTGTTCTCCGCTCGCTGGAGGACAAAGTTTTCTCCAGAAGTATTTCCATTTCTTCCGGCATCTAAACGGAGCCCCACGGGTGCTTAGGATTCCTCGGGCCCAGCGCTGAAATGAGCGCTTGTTTAACTTCACCTGTGTGGCTCCCCGCGGGAGGCCTCATTCACTTAGGAACGTTTGTGGAGCTCTGCTTTGCGCCATCTTTGGTTCCTGACCTTGGGCGAGTGAATTAAGCCGTCCCCTGTAAAATTCGGCTAACTCCCGCCTCACGGGGTGACTGGAGGGATTAGATGACATAATACATATTGATGAGTACGTGCCCAGCACATACGAGGTACTCAGAAAACAGAAGTGGCCATTAGTTTACGTTGTTAATAACCATGGTTATTATCGTAGGTACAGTAAGTGCCAAAGAGAAGCGTAGGCAGACCACAAGCACAACTAGTTGTGAGGAAGGGAGAGTGGAGGAAAGCATCCTAGAGGTGGAGGTGTTCAGCTAAGTCGAAAGAAGAATAGGATGTCACTAAGCAGAGACTTGGAGGTGGAGGCGGCCCTCCCGGCAGAGTCAGCAGTGCGAGCAGAATCACAGAGGCCTGCAAGTGTTGGCTGTTTCTGGCCAGATGGAGATGGAAGGAGAGGAGCCTGGAGCACCTTTAGCCCTGATTATGGAAGATGCTGTACCCGGGGCTTTGGACTGTTAGGTAGACAACATTGGTCTGGTTGATCTGGGATGGGGGTGGTCTTTTGCGTGTGATGGTGCAGTTTTGGCAGAGCTTTCTCATCAAATTTCTGTTGTTTTGGGTACTATATAAAGCCTCCTTCAGCAGTCATTTGCTCTTTCATTACATTCAGCCTGCTGAAAAGAACCAGCTTTCTCATACAGGGTTGGCACCTGTGTAGTTTGCTAAGGTGGTGTAAGGCTAAAGTTAGCCTTTCCAATATTTGGGTGAATATTTTGTTACAATTGAAAAGGTAGAAAGTAGGTCATAAACTAGGTGGTACAGCTCTTACAAAATATGGAGGCCGGGCACGGTGGCTCAAGCCTGTAATCCCAGCACTTTGGGAGGCCGAGACGGGCGGATCATGAGGTCAGGAGATCGAGACCATCCTGGCTAACATGGTGAAACCCCATCTCTACTAAAAATACAAAAAACTAGCC